TAATCTATTTCTAAGAAATAGCAGGATATTTCTTAACCTTCCCTGTTTAAAAAGACTCAACTGTCTTACTTTGCTGTGACCTTTGACCTTCAGGTTAATTTAATGTGCCTATGGGACACTTCAGTTCATAATTCAGGTGGGTTATAAAGCTGTGCTCTCAGACTTTGGCTTTCCATTTGTCCAGTTTAACCTCTAACATCTCTCCTTATGATGGAATGAACATGCTTAGAAAGTAAGATTGAATATCATCAATTCACAGATCATTACACCCAAGAAATATATTCCAGAATTTATGAAGAAACAAATTTATGATCTTTGACTTCAAATGTCACTAAAAGGAAATATGTATCTGTCTGTTGATCCTAATGTTTATTCACTCTGTCAGAGTCCTGGGTTTGGCGCACGATGAAAACGGCTAAAATAAACTGCCCTGCCGTCTTGATGAGATGAGCAGACGTCCTGAGAGTGCGAGCAGGAGAGATACAGTCACAGAAGATTTAGTCAAGGCCTCTAGATGAACATTTGAGCATTTCATATGGGATGTATATGGAATGGTGGCAGGCTGGTTGATGGGATGGTGCTCAACAGGAATCCAGACTTGGTTAAAGGTTTATAAACAACAGGAGTGAATGGTGCAAGGCTGATGGATGAGTGGTACAACCTGTGATAGATGAGTCCCAAAAGCACTTGGGCAGACCTCCATACTATCCTGTTTATACACATCAAGGTTAATATTGTTAACTAAAAGGCAACATTTCTCATTTTCCTTTAGCTTAAAAGAACAGTTCAACCAGAACAGAAAATGTTCTCACCCTCCAATCCAATAGATGAGTTTGTATCGGCAACAGATTTGGAAAAATTTGAATGAAAATTCAATGGGTGCCGTCAGAATGAGAGTTCAAACAGCTGATAAAAACATCACAATAATCCACAAGTAATCCACACAACTCCAGTCCATTAGAAAAGCTGCTTCCTCCAGTGAAAAAGTCCATTCGCTGTTGTCCTCACAAATCAAAATCCACAGACATATTTGTTTTAGACTGTATTCGTTTGTTGTTGAGATGACTTTGACTGGAGAAATCAATATTATGGATAGAGGACTCGTATTTCAGTCATAAGCAGTGGTTTGAAGTTAAAAATGTTTTATCAAAATGCCAGTCCATAATTATGGATTTGTTTCTTACAAATATGCAGCTTTTCACTTCACAAGATGCCAACTGATCTGGAGTTATGTGGATTACTTGTGGATTATTGTGGTGATAATGCAGCTCTTGATTCAGATACTGCAAAGTAATATTTATGTCTGATGACAGCTACAGTTTATAACTGATTGTTTTCCCAGGCAACCTGTTTCCTACATAGTTGTGCTAGTTTGATGTCTTTCTTGTCCTCACATAATAAGGAAATATTGAACTAGGTAATGATAAAGATAGGAAATAGGTGAAAGATAGATATTAAATAGGTAAAACTTTAAAAGAATTGTACTTGTGTGTGTGCGTGTGTGCGTGTGTGTGTGTGTGTGTGTGTGTGTGTGTGAATGTATCATGAATTATTGATTATTAAATATTGACTTATTGACATTGGCACACAGTCATGAAGGTCTGCACATCTTGATTGCACCAACTGAGTTGGTCACACATCATGACTTTGATATGGACAAGGGATTTTTAAATATTAATAAGGAGTGAAGCAGTTTTGTAAAAATATTTTTAGGCCTAATAAGAAAAAATATATAAGAATTTTTAGGACTGAATTCTTTTACTGAGGCTTTTTTTTTCTTCATTATGAATGTTGTTGCACCATTTTACTGAACAAATGCTTATTAACAACAATATTTGATATTACAAATATGATAACAATATTACAAATATTATTAACAAGTATTTTATCTTTCCTATAGTAATTGTCCAGGGTAATGGGATGTGATTGGGCCACACAGAACTTTAAATCTTTGTCCAAGATGGTTTTCATGACATGAAGCCCTGAGGGTGAGAAGGTTAAAACGTGCCCTGTTTTCTCCCTCCACAGTTTCCTTTACTCCCGGTGCAGTTGATCAATCTCAAACTGACCTTGACTGCAGAACAGACCTCAATCAAGCATCCATGTCTCCGGATGCATTAGTCATTATTGCTGTGCTGCTGAATGCGATGGAGCAGGAAGCATCAATCTTTCCCAGTGAGGTGTTTGCCTACTGTCATGAAGACTTCAAGCACCATGACACAGGTCACACCTGCCATGTGTCCTGAAGATTAGAGTTCACCAGAGGGCAAATTTACTTCCGAATGGTGTCCACAGAGGATGTTGCCATTTTATTTAGTATTACATGTGTTTTCAAGACCATAAGTGCACCAGGATGAGTTTTAGTTTAGTGTTCTTTACTTTGTTTCTTCATCAGAACAGGTTTGGAGAAATGTAGCATTACATCACTTGCTCACCAATGGATCCTCTGCAGTGAATGGGTGCCGTCAGAATGAGAGTTCAAACAGCTGCTAAAAACATCACAATAATCCACAAGTAATCCAGACCACTCCAGTCCATCAGTTCATGTCTTGTGAAGCAAAGATCTGCGTGTTTGCAAGAAGCAAATGCATCATTAAAATATTTTTAACTTTAAACAGTTGTTAAAATATGAGTCCTCTATCTATGATATTGCTTCCTCCAATGAAAAAGTCATCTTGTCTGAATCAGGAGAGAATTATGCACAGATCAAGTGTTTACAAGTGTAAAAGTGAAACAATAATAAATTAAAACAGCACTAAACAAATGTTTTTTATCAGCTGTTTGAACACTCATTCTGACGGCACCCATTCACTGCAGAGGATCCATTGGTGAGCAAGTGATGTAATACTAAATTTCTCCAGATCTGTTCGGATGAAGAAACAGACTCATCTACATGCTGGATGGCCTGAGTAAATTTTCAGCAAATTTTCATTTTTGGGTATTAAATTGAATCAAATTGATGAATTAAATTGATCAAAAGTGACAGTAAAGCCATTTATAAGGTTACAAAGATTTCTATTTCCAGTAAATGCTGTTCTTTTGAACTTTCTGTTCAGCAGATAATCCTGAAAAAAAGTGTCACAGTTTCCACAAAACATTAAGCAGCATAACTGTTTTCAGCATTGATAATAATTAGAAATGTTTCTTGAGTAGCAAATCAGCATATTAGAATGATTTCTGAAGGATCATGAGTAATGACACTGAAAATTCAGCTTTAACATCACAGGAATAAATTGCATTTTAAAATATATTAAAAATTAAAACAGCTATTTTAAATTGCAATATAATTTCAGAATATTACAGTTTTTACTGTATTTTTGATCAAATAAATTCAGCCTTGGTGAGCGGAAGAGACAGCTTTCGAAAACATTAAAAAATCTTACCAATCCCAAACCTCTGAACGGTAATATATTATTTAATTATATTTTACTTTTAATGTGCATCAACCAAAACTGCACATATCATTTTAAAAAATACCCAAAGGCCATTTAGAAAATAATTGTGCAGTTCTCCAGACAGCTTATAGTTTTGGTTGTATAACAAGTATTAATGACTACAGGATGTTTTTTCGTCTTAAACACTTGTTTTACCCACTAGAAGACAGACATCCGACAACATGTTTACACATTGTGAACTGGAAAAGCGTTAGACAAAAGCATTTCCACACGATTAGGAGTTGAGGAATGTTGTTGTGTATAACTGAGGGTCATAAGGTGCCTATTTCTCACTGTCTTTCTTTGTTTTCCATAGATGCCACTCCTTGATGGTTATGGGCTCACTCCCATAAGCCCAGCAGGAGCTGGGACAGGGACACGGCCCATGTTTTGATGTGGTTTGGACATAGACAGTTTGCATGGGCTCCTGAATACCGGAGATAATTTCCCTAGCCATTTGCTCTCAGTTCTCTCAGCAGTTCTTTGCATCCCAATCATCCCGTGCAACCATGAGGAATTCAAACCTCAGGTGCTTTTAAAAATTCTTTCCCTCCACAGCGCTCCGAACAAAATTTGGGTGCATATCCGTTGTAAAAGGCCTTTGAATGAGTAAAAACCAACTATTTTTTGGTTTGAAATTTGAGCCTAGAAGACATATAGTCATGATCCAAGGTAATGAATTTAAAATGTTTGCTTTATAGCCCTATGAATGGTTTGTAGCTTAGTGACTATATTCTTCTTTCTGATGAATTTAACATTAGGTACTTGATGTTGCACCCATCAAAAAAACTGAATGGATCAAGTCAGAGACCTTGAACTAGAGGTTATGCAGACCAAAAGCAGTTTATTGCTCCTATTCTTATACAAGCATTTATGGTACTTTGAGTGAGTCTGAGTTATGGCTGTCAGTAACAAGCATATCACATGCAAATATTATCACGCATACGCTACAGTTCAAAATATTTTTTAATGCTTTAAAAGAAGTTTCTTAAAGCTGCATTTAAAAACTGGAATACTGTGAAATATTATTACAATTTAAAATGAACTGTTTTCTATTTTAAACTATTTTAAAATGCAATTTTTTCCCTGTAATGCAATGTTGAATTTTCAGCAGCCATTACTTTTCTTGTGATTTGAATAGGCCTCCCTAACAAGTATGAAAAATATCAAGGATATTACTTCTTTATTCCCAACTAAAATATGTTCTAGAACCTTCTTTGAGAATAGTGGGAGGCTGCTTTCTGAATCAGATGCATCCATATGCACGTGTTACCAATAAAGGCTTCTTTGTCATGAGGGAAAGTGGGAAGGAAAGGAAGAGAAAGTGATCGAGTGAGTGAATGAGAGAGAGAATGCAAGAAACAGCAGTGCAAACACTGCCTGCATGCCATTAATAATGAGAAACACAAACAGTAGATGATATAACTGTAATACAGAGTCACATCCCCCCTGCACAGAGGGCAGATGAACAAACAGGAGGTGTCACAGAAACATCCTGAAGATTTATGACTCTGAATTCCCCATGTATCTATCCTCAGACCTGCTCTGTGCTCGCTCTCATCTGTTTGGAAAGTGAACAGTACTCAGTCTTGGTGTTTTGCGCGCTTGGTCTCTGGTGCATCGTTAAGCTTGGAGAAGTGTTCCGACAAGGCTGCCAGGGCACGGTACCGATGGGAGATGCTGTTCTTCACTTCTTTAGGGAGCTCAGCATAACTGCCCACAGAAACACAGCACAGAGGAATGAGAAAAACAAAATCACTATCAAAATAAAAAGGGCTTTAAGTGCTAATTTTATCTGACAAATTAATTTGGCATTCATTTTAAACTATTGTTGACAGAAATTTATTTTCTTGTCAATGTTTCATTCTCTGAGGATGAGTACAACACTTTTTTATAAAGCATTTTACAACATGTATTCTTATAATGTGATAACATGGACTGTAGGAAAAGTCTTTCATAACTATTTGTAGATTTGGTTAAATCAAAGTCAAGTCTTTTCAGAGGATTTACTTTGACCAATACTGTCACCTACTGGTGAACATGAGAAACACAACTGCGAAGTTGTGAGAAGATACTCACGTTTTTTCATAGCCATCAGGCTGAAAACAAGGATCCCACCCAAAATCCCTTGGGCCCCTGGGCTCAACAATACGGCCCTGAAAAAAATGATTAGAAATGTTGGAGGTAGGAATCAAAACCTGCATGCTATAGTGTTCAACGTATTATTACAGCTATAGTGTGTTCTTCATTATCAACTGCTACTGTTCCTCCATCATTAAAAAGGGCCTCTATCACTCTCCAATTCTTTAAAAAACTAGCGCTGATCCTAATGATTTAAATAATTACAGGCCTATTTCTAATCTCCCTTTTATTTAAAAATACTTGAAAGAACAGTAGCAGCTCAACTTGAAGCACATCTGCAAAGTAATGACATTTTCCAGTCAGGCTTTTGACCCAAACATATTACAGAAACAGCTCTTGTCAAGGTTATAAATGATCTTCTCCTCGCTGCGGATTCTGGTTTTCTGTCTATTCTTATTCTTCTAGATATTAGTGCTGCCTTTGATACTATTAGTCATTCAATACTATTGGAACGGCTGGCTTGCATTGGAATAGCTGATAATGCGCTTCTTTGGTTCTCATCTTATTTAAGTGACAGAAAACTGTTTATGCAGGTTAAGAATACACATTCAGATCCTGTCTCAGTTAATCATGGCGTTCCACAAGGGTCGGTGCTGGGTCCGCTTTTATTTATCATTTATATTCTACCTCTTGGTCATATTTTACGTTCTTATGGTATTAATTTCCATTTTTACGCTGACGACACACAAGTATATATCCCTACAAGACCTAATGTTTCTCATCCCCCTCCTGACCTCGCTAAATGTTTGCAGGACGTTAATATCTGGATGACTAATAATTTTTTTTAAGTTAAATGCCAATAAAACTGAAGCCCTCCTTGTTCTAGTTTCTAGGTCTGTTTTATCTAAAACTCAATACTTTACCTTGGTTATTGATAATTGCCCAGTTAATTTTTCTACCCAGGTGAAAAGTCTTGGGGTTATACTGGATGGTTTGCTTTCGTTTAGTCCTCATATTAGTAATATTTCACGTTCTGCATTTTTTCATCTACGCAACATTGCCAGACTTCGTTCTTCACTTTCCCAATTTGGGAATCCATGCATTGGTTACATCTCGGATTGATTATTGTAATTCTCTTTTATTTGGAATTCCTGAAAAACAACTTAATCGATTACAGCTAATCCATAATTCAGCAGCTAGGATAGTTACCCGCTCACGTACTTTTGATCATATATCTCCAATTCTTTTCCAGCTGCATTGTCTTCCTTTTCGTTATTGTGTACATTACCAAATTCTACTTCTTACATACAAAGCTCTTCACAATTTGCCACCTAATTATCTTTCAGATCTTCTTCATTTGTATACTCCTTTGCGCTCTTTGAGATCATCTTCTGCAGACTTATTGTCTGTTCCATACTTCAAGATGAGTTCCTTTGGTGGTAGGGCTTTTAGTTGTGCAGTGCCGCTGGATTCAGTTTCCCATTTTAAAGCTCAGATAAAAACGTATTTGTTTAGAATAGCTTTTAATGATCTGCTTATTTAATGTGTTGTTATAATGTTCGCTTTTTGTATGTTTTTTATTGCTTTGTTTTACATTGTACGGTGTCCTTGAGTGTCCTGAAAGGCACCTATAAATAAAAGGTATTATTATTATTATTATTAGTGTTCAACGTAACACATTTATATATATTACCTGTCAAAAGTTTGTGGACAGTAAGATTTTTTTTTAAAGAAATAAATGCTTTTATTCAGCAAGGATGCATTAAATTGATCAAAAGAGACATTAAAGGTATTTATAGTGTTTTGATTTCAATTTCAAATAAATGCTGTTCTTTTGAACTTTCAATTCATTAAGAAATTCTGGAAAGAAATGTGTCACACAGTAGTTTCCACAAAAATATTAAGCAGCACAACTGTGATAACAATTGATAACAACAACATTGTGACAACACTGATAATCATAATAAATGTTTTTGAGCAGCAAATCATCATATTAGAATGATTTCTGAAGGATCATGTGACACTGAAGACTGGAGTAATGATGCTGAAAATTCAGCTTTGCATCACAGGAAGAAATTACATTTAAAATATATTAAAATGGAAAACTTTAAATATTAGTTATTTAAAATTGCAATCTTTCACAATAATACTGGTTTTACTATATTTCAATCAAATAAATGCATTCCTGGTGAGCATGGCACACTTATTTCAAAAACATCAATACATTTTACTGACCCTTAACTTTTGAGTGGTAGTGTACATTATACATTTGTGGTACTGGTGCTTATATACCGTACATCTGGATTAAGTTTATTTATTGATTGAATGAATGATAGTAAAGACAGAAAATGATGGGGAAAAGAGAGGGCAAACAATGCCTGTATGGGCACCAAAGCTCAATGTAAAAACCACTACTTCACGAGAGTAAATAAACATGCTCACCTCAGTTCTTCCTCTGAACAGCTGAGCTGGCTCATCTTTTCCAGCACAGAAAGCAAATGTACACAGAGCCCAGGCAGATTTATCGTCAAAACCTGCTAGCAATTTATACAATCCTACAAACATAAAGAAAACAGCTCAATTTGCATATTCCTATTTTTGCCTATGCCTCTAAATATGACTTTTTAAGAAATAAAGCTAAAATAAAAATAACACAAAATAATAATATTAAGTGTTAAATATAAACTAAATAAAAATCTGAAATGTTGACTAGGCAGCTAATGGAAATAAGTTTACATTTAGTTAAAATTTTGAAACTAAAAACTCAAAAAGAATAAAAACTAAAACTGAACTAAAGCTAAAATAAAAAAAAATAAAAAAAAAACTCATAAAAATGACTGACAATTAACCTAAAATAAAAGTATTCAGTAGAAACCTAAATTTCTATTAAAGTGCCTTACCCTCTGGCTTCAGTTTATCTAAGAACCATTTTCTGTGAAGAGTGAAAAAACATTAAATAATTTAATGCACTGTGCAACATACTTACACCTTATCACTGTTTTATATTTCCAGAATTTAAAGGAGCCAGAGCCAGACTCACATGTAAGGTCCTGGTAGTCCTCCTAGTGCCCTGAAGCACAGACAGGTGTCCTCTACCAGCACTGGCCCATCCACCTTCACACAAAACACATAACATCATGTTTGAGGCATCAACCAAGGAAACCAAGCAAAAAAAGGTGCGCAATTTACAAACCTGCCTTGCAGCTTCTTGACACTTCTGTATAGAAATATCATCTGGTTCCCCTTGATATTCAGGCACTGCAAGAGAGGTCATAATCACATTACAAATACAGCAATGGCATGCTTGATATTTTAAGTCAACAAAGCAGAAGAAGAATAGCCAAGTACTTACAGTCAATCTTCTTAGAAACCAGTTTGTAAGGAAATTTGTCACCAAGGATCTGAACTACCTGTTTGAACAAGAGATTATTAGATTGATAGGCAGATTCAACAAGTAAAATAATTTTAGGGCTGCAAAACAATTAATCGCGATTAATCGCATTCAAAATAAAAGTTTATGTTTACATACTATATGTGTGTGTATTGTGTATATTTATTGTGTATATATAAATACACACACACACATATGTATATATTAAGGAAAAAATATTTTAGATTTATATATATATATATATA